TTAATATTTAGGGCAGGGAGAGAGGTGGTGACTCAAAGTCTCAGTCAACAAGAATATAATTAATTACTCCAACAAAGGTAGTCCTGATATCACAAAAAAGGCCAAAGCTGGATTGGAATATCTTAAACAGGTGATTAAAAAAGCAAGTAAACTTGTAAATTAGAGTTCATAATCCCCCATAGGGGGATTCAACTTGTTCAATTTAGAATATTTTAAAACAGAACATGAGAGTGATCAATTAGCATCCTATGGCTTTTTTCAACTCGAGGAAATACAGCATGGGGTAGTGGTTCTAAAATTAGAAGTTTTCCCAACAATAAATTCTATCCTATCTATGTCACAAATGGAAGAAAGAAAACAACCTCAAGTTCTGAAAACTTAAGCTCATAAGATACAAGAAAAAGCCAATATTAGTAGTTTTCTCTACAATCCAACTTCCAGCCACAATTGAAAGTGTTGCTGAAATCAAAGATTTCTATATGATGTTCAAACACTAATGGTTCCAGTGTTCTTACATCCTCTAATTCAGCTTTTAATTGCTGATGGATATAGACTCAGTAGGAAAGGAAATAAAAGTAATACTTTCAATGTGTTCATATTTGCCTGAAGCTAATACCAGGAAACTTTAGGATTCTTCCTAAGGTATGTTGGCACCACCTATGTGTCATATTTCATTATTTTATAATGAGGCAGGCATCTAAAAAAAGTAATGCAGATGACATTCTATTAAAAGAAAAAAAGTACAAGAGCTTTCAGAGGTTGCTTGATACCGATATAAGGAACTATTTATCTATGCTACTGCCTTTTGCAATACAGATTTAAACAAGTAATTTATGCACTAAATATTTAACTCAAATATTTGATCTGGATTTTCTATAAAAAAAATCATCTAAATGTGCAGTATACTTTCTGTGTAAATGAACATGGAACACTGGAAGAAATCTAGATTGTGTCATTGTATACTATTATGTTTTCTTCATCTTCCTTTTCTGGACAAACCAATCAGCTTTCTCCACTTCCTTATCTTGGTAACTAACCAGAAACTAACTATGGGTGAGAGATGAGATTATTTACTGTAATCTTTGTGGTTCTGTCAGGGCTTGGCATCTCTGAAAATTAACACTGGATCTATAAATCCCCTGACCTTTGAAAAAGGTCAGATCCAGCCCTCGGAATTCAGACTCTCTCTATGACGGGCCAAACTTCAATATTGAATCCAAATACCCCTGAACTTCATAAAAATGCAGATTCAGATCAGATCTCTGATCCAAACATTGTGACTCAGGACCATCTCAAATCATCCAAATTCTTCAAATTTTCTAGTCCTTTCATGACTTGGCTAGGCTGGGATTTAGGGAGACCTGGGCTGTGACTCTAGGCAGTCCAGACTGTATTTAATAAGACAGGAGCTAGAGAGACTGTGAGAACTACAAGGTTATGTTTGTGCTCAGCATCGTCAATAAAGAATTTGCTTTGTATTCACTACAGTCAAGGCCTGTCTCTTACCTATCACAAGAGATATTACATGTTTCCTCTTTTTCTCATGGGCACAAATATCAGATTCCCATCCCACACAATGATGCTGCATAAATATCGTATTGGGACAAACAGTTAAACCCAATCACATTTAAGCCATGGCATTCAAGATGTAAGGAGATTTTGAATTCTAAATATTCAATCATCCATGAGACAACCACCCCAAAAGTACATAACTTTTTCAAGTAACTTCTAATTCATTTTCTGTCTAATTTTTTTTTTTTAGAAAGTACTTCATATATTTGGCAGGTCTGTACTCTAGTTACTCACCACAGTTCATTCATCCCTAATACAATGGCAAAATGCAACAAAACTTACTAGTCATTGCAGCCTCTTAGAAAATGGAGGAGCATTATGTTCTGAAATTGATTACAAAATTCCTGTGGTGTAGGAGCCACTATTAAACCATCATACTTGAAGACTTCAAGGGCAGCTGGTAATATCTGAAGTAAAATGACTTATGCTTTAACAACCTCTTATCATATTCTAAACACAGAAGTCTTCTATATTTGTTGATGGTAGTATCACATTTGCATCCTGTCATACACACCTATGTACTTTTAAAATACATATGTCACCAGATCTTATTTTGTTTCCTGTTTCCCAGAACATTGCTTGGAAGTTTTCACCCGAGACTGGGACACCTGTCAGTACGATCTATAGTATGATAGGTCAAGAGGAGTAGTTAAAGGAATCAAAGAAAGCAGGCATAGACTCAGACTGTAAAGTGAGAAGGGACCATAATGATCATCCAGTCTGACATCCTCCACATTGCAGGCCATATAACCTCACCCATCCATTCCTGTAATAGACCCATAACCTTTGGCTGAGTTACTGAAGTCATCAAATCATGATTTAAAAAGACTTCAAGTTACAGAGAATTCACCATTTATAGTAGCTTAAACCTTCAAATGACCTGGACTCCACACTACAGAGGAAGGTGAAACCCCCCCTGGGTCTCTGCCAATCTGACCCAGGGAAAATTCTTTCCCAACCACAGAAATAACATGACAGATTATATTGCATTAGATTAAGATATGTGAAAAGTGTCCTACTATACAACTCTGTTTTTAAAAATGCCATAGAAAAACTAGGTAAATAAACACAGTATTTGTACTTTCCTATACATGTTACAGATGTCTGGAAGTTACACTTCAGCAATGAGATAGACATTTAAAAAAAAATCAGTTTAGTGGGTTAAAAAAAAAGTGTAACTGACACCCAAGTCCTTTTAATATCTCCTATGCAATAGTTCTACCATCCATTATACAGCTGAAACATTACAATGAAAGGTTTCAGAGTAGCAACCGTGTTAGTCTGTATCCGTAAAAAGAACAGGAGTACTTGTGGCACCTTAGAGACTAACAAATTTATTAGAGCATAAGCTTTCGTGGACTACAGCCCACTTCTTCGGATGCAAACAGACTCCAACGAGAGACTGCTGAGATGGAATTGATATGCAAACTAGACACAATCAACTCAGGATTGAATAAGGACATTGAATCTATCTCCCCTTGTAAGTATTCTCACACTTCTTATCAAACTGTCTGTACTGGGCTAGCTTGATTATCACTTCAAAAGTTTTTTTTCCTCTTACTTAATTGGCCTCTCAGAGTTGTTAAGACAACTCCCACCTGTTTATCCTCTCTGTATGTGTGTATATATATCTCCTCAATATTTATTCCACTCTGTATGCATCCGAAGAAGTGGGCTGTAGTCCACGAAAGCTTATGCTCTAATAAATTTGTTAGTCTCTAAGGTGCCACAAGTACTCCTGTTCTTATTACAATGAAACTTACTCTTAAGTATATATATGTAAAATATAATTAAATACTGTGTTTTTGAGGGAGCTGAATCAAATCAACTAGGTGCAATAATTTTTTAGGAAATATTATATTATGATAACCATTCTGCCCAGGTTTGTTTACTATATAAATATACATAAGCGCATAGATACAATTTTTGTACACAATTGTAAAGTTAATGGACAGGTAGTCCAATGACATTATGCACGTGCAAATTTTTCCAAACTTTTGTGCATCAAAATTCCTAAAATTATATTTAGTCACGTAAATAAAAGTAGCCTGATTTTCAGAGGTGCTGGGCATTCCCAAATCCCATTGAAGTCAGCAGTATCTTTGAAAATAAGGCAGCATGGACTATACATCAAAAATTTGTGACTACCAAAATATTTATAATCTCTGGAAAGAACAGTCTATTATCATAATATCTGATGACATCAATTACTCTCACTGTTGAAGAAGCACTGACATTAATCTGAGAATTTTTTATTGCAGTCAATGTGGAGGGGGGAGGGAGAGAGTCAACTAAAAGACAAAAATAAGGAGTTGATTTTTCTATTTTAAATACCACAAACTAATTACAACTCCCTAAATTCTGGGAGTAAACAGGTAGTTAAAACATTCTGCATCCAAGTTTCTCTTTCACCACTCCACAATTTATAATTAAATGAGAAAATTCTTAATTTAGTTGTATTTATTTAAAGAAGTCAAATTCAAAGGTAAAGACAACTTTATCCCCTTAGTTTAAACAATCTGTTTCCACACTAACCTATCTCAAATTCCCCAAGCAACCATTCTAATTGAAGTACAGTAGCCAAATAAATCCCATTATTTAGGTCAATGTCTGGGAGTTTGTTTATTGATGTTGTTGTTAAAACATTTATCGTGTTGGGAAATCTATTTGCAGAGAGAATCCTTGGAATATACATTTTAAAAATTCTATTGATTGCAAAACAAAAAAATCTACACAATTATTTTCCTCATACCACATGTGTAACTAACATTTTAATTGAATTGTAAACAATTGACTAACCATAAAACATTTGTTATTTGAAAACTAAAGTATGTAATATTTTTACTCATTTTACAATCAAATCATTTTAAAAGTGAATACTCTAACTCAATCGTAAAATGTTTCATCATCACATATCAGCTGTACCCAGCACGTGGAAATAGCAGGTAAAATAAACTAAATATTGCAACACTGCCATCTGACACACAAAATGAACCGAACATGAATTAATGTTTAAAGCATGTATTATAGAATAAACGTTCTTGAATACTTTGCAAAGTTAGCATATGTATCTGTGTTTTAAAATTGAGAGCAAGAGATTAGGTAATTTCTTAAAATAAAAGACAACAGATAAACCAGTTGGGATATCGAGCTAACATTTCACACGCTCATACTGTTGCTATTGAAGTAGTGTAAAGTATACATCATGTACTAAATATTCCAACAGTAAAGCACGGATATCTCGGATGCTCTGAAATCATGTTGTTGCACTCCTACGAATGGAACATCAGAGCAGCAGCTTGTATCAAGACAAGTGGAGGCAAAATGTTAAAATAGTTAAATTTTCGGGGGGGGGGGGAGAAACCAGGAGCGAAAGTTTCCTAATGCCATTTGCCCAACTGTTTCGTAGAATTTAAAAAGCCTCTTACCTTTCTGTATACCAGCATGTTTGGGGATTCATCAGCCACTCCGTTGCTGCTTTGCCCATAATTATTTCCTTGCGCCATGTCCCAATGCTACGATCCGCTGACAAATGTCGCGCTGGGCAATTTGCCACTGTGAAAGGTAAGAGTGATCAGTGAAATACAGCTGCAGCAGGTCTCCTTCCCCCTACTGACGGTGATTAGTAGAGCTGACTTTCTCCCAACATGTTACCATCATCCGTTTCTCCGCCCGAAATTTACACTGGGGCAAAGCAGCTAATTCCCCGTTTACTGCCATTACCCCCTTGTGCCGGTAAATAATGAATGAGTGTAATGTACTAACCTAGTTTCGACTTTAATGAATTGCCACTTCACACCGCTGAGCACACTAGGGTACAGCGGCATCTCCCTACACAATGCTCCCCCACACACGCACGCCCCCACTGAATACTGGACACCGCATCTTTCTGATCGCCCTTTAAAGGGCTGCGTCCGCGTGTCAGGGACTGCCAATTAGTCGGCTGCCTTCCCAGCTGTTCAGCTCGCTGTTAGTCCCGCGCCCCGCACCCCAGCAGCCGCCCTGAGGTATCTCCCGCTGCAGCGCTTCCCCCGGCCCGTGCAGCGCTCACCCACCTCCACAAAGAGCCGTGCCAGCTCTTTTTTTGAGGGGGGAGCCCCCCGGCACAACACGATGCCGGCTCCATCGCCTCCTCCCCCCCTCCACGGGCAGAGCGCGCCGGCGGCCGCAGAGCCCCAACCGGGCTCTGAGCTGCCCGCCCGACAACCCGCTGCGGGAGGGCGGGGGTAGGGTTCACCGCGACCCCCCCCCGCCAGCCCCGGGGAGCTCCGCTCTCCCCCCGGCCCGGCGTCTCCAGCCCCGCGGCACGTTCGGGCTGGTACTGCCGGCGGCTCTGCCCTGCTTCGGGAAGCCCGCGCCTGGGCTTTCAGCACCGCGGACAGCAGCCCCGGAAGCCCTCAGCCCCCTGCTTGCCGGCACCTCACCCGCGCCGCTCTGGGGGAGGGTGAACTCCCCCCGCTCCCCGCCCTGCCTATTTACCTCCCCGGGCCAAGGTCACTGGCTGCACGGCGGCAGCGGCTCCTCTCCTCCGCCTCCTCCGGGCGCGCGCCGCGCGGTCCGTGTCAGCCGGCAGCGGAGGGAGGGATGCGAGGATCGGTCATCACACAAACAATGCGCACCCAGGCTGCTGCCGCCTGCTGCCGCTGCCACCGCGGAGGCTGCGACTCTCCCCCGCCCAAGCCTTGCACAAGCGGCCGCGGCTTCCCTCCCTGGAACGGAGCTGCCTCGTCACGTGAGGAAATGGAACGTCAAAGGTGCTGCTGCTGCTGCAGCGCCAGGCGACTCACACACCCGCCTGCTCTCTAGCTGCTGCTGCTGCTCTCAGCTCTCTCTCCCCCGCCCCACGGGAAGCAGCCAAGGAGCTGCAGCTGCCTGCAGGTTTGGCAGCAAGTTGTCAACGAGATTAGGCAACGCGGGAGGGCTGGCCAAGAATAGAATATGGGCTAATGGGATGGATGATGCGGGGGAGGGGGCAGCAGTGGGGGGAAAAGTGTGTCACATCCTCTCTCTTCCTCCAGCATACAGCCCTGACTGATCAGCTACCTGTTTTTAAGGAGTGAGGCCAGCGTTTTAAAACTTGGGTCATAGAGGGGCACTTTCATGATGAAAGAGCCTAGAAATGGTGGAGCTGCTGCAGCTCTCAGTGACTCCTCTGGAAAGTAGGAAAATCAGCACCTGTGGAGGGGAATCACACCCCTGATTGAGGGAGCTGGATTTTAGGCATCCAAATTTGCTAAGCTAAAATTTTCAACCAGAAAATATTGGTAATAGCAGCAGGAATAAGCCATCTTTAGGGTGAAGAGATTTTCCTGTGACATGCTGCCCCTTGTGGAGTGTGCTTTGGGACAATCAGAGCAATTGGAGCTGGAAGAGACCTCTGTATGTAATTACAGACTCTCTCTCTCAGCAGTAGGAAGGAGATGATAATGACTTTGTCCTTCCAGGAAGGTCCTGATTGAGATGTTCTCCCCTGCACAGCAAGCAGCCAATGAGCAGCTGACCAAGAAATAAAATTGTTTATTTGTTAAATGCCTACAACAGTGGTGTCACTTGCTGTGCAAAACACAAAATAAGACAGTCCCTGCCGCAAGTGCTTACAAGTGAATTGATAGAGGAGGTCTGCTCTCTGCTGCTGTGGAAGAAGAAGAGCAGAGATGTCTCAAAGAAGGAGTCCAGCTTGTGAAGCAGGAGACCAGCTGCCAGGCCTATTGTCCACCACGTATACCACCTCCCGCCCATAACAGATCATGAATGGGAAAAGAACACGTTAAGAAATTACTTAGATAAGTTAGATGTCTTCAAGTCAGCAGGGCCTGATGATATACATCCTAGAAACTTAAGGCTGAAGAGATCTCAGTGACATTAGCGATTATCTTTGAGAACTCGTGGAAGACAGGAGAGATTCCAGAGGAAAAATATAGGACCCAACTATAAAAAAGAAATAAGAACAACCCAGGGAATAATAGATCAGTTAGCTCAACTTCTGTACACTGAAGGATATTGGAGCAAATAAACAATTTGTAAGCACCTAGATGAAAGTAAGGTGATAAGTAACAGCATGGATTTGTCAAGAAAAAAAATCATGTCAAATCAACCTATGACAGGGTAACAAGCTTTGTTTATGAGAAGCTCCCCTATCCACAAACTAGAGAAATATAACCTAGACAAACCTTCTATAAAGTGGGTAAACAACTGGTTGCAAAACCATATTCACTTGTTATCAATGATTCACAATCAAGCTGGAAGGGCATATCAGGTGGGGTCCAGTTCTATTCAATATCTTCATAAATGATTTTGATAATGGCATAGAGTAAACTTATAAAGGCTGATGATACCAAGCTGGGAGGGTTTGCAAGTGCTTTGGTGGATAGGATTAGAATTCAAAATGTTCTTAAAGTGAGGAAATTATCTGATTCAATAAGGACAAATGGAGAGTACTATATTTAGGAAGGAATAATCAACTGCACAAATACAAAATGGGAAATGAGCCTGGAAGCAGTCCTGCAGAAAAGGATCTCGGGGATAGAGTGGATCACAAACTAAATATGAGTCCATAATTTAATAGCATTGCAAAAAAATACATTATTTTGGGAGGTATTAGCTGGAGTGTTGTAAGCAAGACATGAGAAGTAATTCTCTCTCTATTCACCACTGTTAAGGCCTCAACTGGAGTATTGTGTCCAGTTCTGGGCACCACACTTCAAGAAAGATGTGGATAAATTGGAGAAAGTCCCCAGAGGAGAGCAACAAAAATGATTAAAAAGACTAGAAAACATGACCTACAAGGAAAGATTGAAAAAAAAATGGGTTTGTTTAGGCTGGAGAAAAGACGACTGAGGGGGAATATGATAGTCTTCAAGCATATAAAGGGTTATAAGAGGAGGGTGATACATTGTTCTCCTTAGCTCCCGAAGACAGGACAAGAAGTGATGGGCTTAAACTGTAGCAAGGGAGATTTATTTTGGCCATTAGGAATAATTTCCTAACCGTAAGGGTAGCTAAGCACCTGTGGAATCCCTGACATTGGAGGTTTATAAGAACAGGTTAAACACATACCTGTCAGGGAAGGTCTAGATAAAACTTATTTCTGCTTTAGTGCAGGGGACTGGATTAGATGACCGATCAAGGTCCCTTCCAGTCATATATTTCTATGAGTAGAGGAAGGTACAGGCAAGGGGAAGTCTGGTGGTATGATGTGTATTATGGGGGATGGAGACCAAATTGAGAGGTTCTCGGTACACAGAACTAAGATGGAGGCAAGGGGTGGAGTCAGCGTAGTTCATTAGAGGAAGGGGCACCACATTAAGAACTTCTAAAGGGATAGAACCAGTTTTGGAAGGAAGAGTTGAATTGGGTGCTTCTGAGAGGGACAGAGTTAAGTTAGAGGAGGAAAGAGAGCCAAGTGAAGATGTTGGGTGACAGTGGCAACTGAAGGGCTCTTTAGGAAAGTTGAGGGTGGTTTCAACAGGACAAAGGCAAGTCTGCAGATTCAGAGGCACACGGAGAGTGAGAACCATTTAAGTCCTCTGGGGTTGGCAGAGATAACTTGGTGTCATCTCCCTGGAGAATAGTAGCTTCTTGCAAATTTTTTTGGGGGGGAGGGAGGCATCTAGAAGAGTCTTTTAGCAGGACAGAATCAAGTTGGAGTTTCTGTGGGAACAGAGGCAAGTAGAAAGGGAAATGGGCTGGAGTAGAGATGAGGAGGAATAGAAGTTAGAGTAGGGTCTCTGAAACAGAGACTGGGGGAAGAGGATGGAGATCTGATAGATAAGTGGGAATGTTCTGGAGGGAAAGCAGAAGTGAAAGGGGGAGTTTGGTCACCTCAAGTGAAAATGAAGGTCAACAGGACAGAATTGAAAGGGGAAGATGTTGAGGGCTAGAGGAGCGGAGGTTAATGTCAGAGAGATCATGCTTCATGGTAGGGATAAGAAGCAGCAACAGAAAATGGAATTCTTATGGTGAGGAGCAGAAAGAGAGGGAGAACAACATGATGGGGCAGAAGAAGAGAGGAAAGAGGCATAAGACAGTGGGATTTGAATGTGAGAAGAGTTTGGTGCTTTGAGATGGGAGGGAGAAGCACAAGGAAAGCAAAGAAGAGCAAGAATAAGATTTTGGTAAGTTTATGAAAGGGAAGGAAAGGAGAAAAGAGGAGGGGAGAAAAAAAAGTGAAAATACTGGGTGTGAAAAATGTGAAACTTAAGAGTTTCTTGCCTCCTGTTAAGAACTCACATGACGTACACGAGATATGGGCCCCAAACCATGAAATTTGGATCCAAATCTGAACTTACAAAAGTTCAGGTTTGTTCAGACTCAGTGATCCAGTCATTGGAGAGAGAAATAAAGATCCTGAAAAACATTTCCTAAAGTATGCATCTGGGATTCCAAACTGAGCCCCACCTCTTGAATGGATAGAACTAAAGAGCTCAGATAGCTCAGTGATAGGGTTTTATATTGCACCAGATAGATACCATGGAAGTTGTTAAGATGTATTAAGAACACAAATCACATAACCTGCTGGGGAGCATCAAAAACAGCACAAACTCAAACACTTATTGTATCAGATTGCATTTTAACAGCTTTTTTGAGGGTGCTATAAATGGCAATGGCACAAAGTATCCTTTTAAATGCAATTTTATCTTTTGTAAAACCTCACAGGAAAATATTAAAGATTCACATATATTCCTTCCTTCCAATTACTTAGATAACTGACAGAGAATGCATTTTAATAATAGTATGCATTAGAATGGCATGGAAGAGAAATATCAGTGGGTTTCCAATATTGTTATATTATATTGCTTTCTTACAGTAATGTCATCTTATTGATCTAAGTGAGGGAACCAACAAGAAGGAAGCCAATTTGTTCTGGAATCCTTACAGTATGGATGAAGTAGTTTATATTTAGGCCTGGCAGAATTTGACTTTTTTTATTGTGATAGATATAAATGTTTATTTTTAAGCATTTCTCTATTTTATCAATTTAAATTTTCACAATTGCAGGAATTTATGAGGGAATCAGATGAGTGGGGGGGGGAGGGGTTCATGTAATAATTTTATGATAGTAGATATTGAGATTCAAAAAGTTGAAAGCATTATGACCATTAAAACACAAATTGTCTACCTGACATATCAAAATATACAAAGTAAATACCAATAAATCAAACTAAGAAGTTCTCAAGCAGCATTTTTCTTACTTTGCCTATCTGTAAATATCAGGTATCATCAATGGATTTTTTTTTCTTCAGTTTGTGTATGTACAGTGAAATCAATGTTTACCTACACTTACTGATAAAAATCTAATCCTTCCAAGCTTATCTATATTTTAAGATGTGTCTGATATATCCATTTCCTATTAACTATTCCAATTTCAAATTCTGGCAGAGTTGTACTTCTTTGGGATAGTGGAATACTCTGCTAAGGAGAGGACTAATTTATTCTACAACCCATCCAAATTTTCCATTGTTCTGACAGCCACATCATAGTAGCAAGCAAGACTGAAGGTGAAGCCTTCCCAATTGCAATATGTGATTTTATCCACACAGCTCCTAAAATATTGTTTTTGCTTTATTTTATATTGTTTTGACTAACCTCACAAGTCAAGCACGGGATAAGCCATGTTACATTAGTTCAGTGAGGAGTGTATATTGCATTTTCTTTTAAAGTGGAATTTTTCTTCTATCTTAAAATTTTGTAGTCCTCTTCTGGGAGCTTTGCATCTGTAAGAACTACAGGACCAAGCCACAAATGGACAATAGATAAGAAGCCCCCAGAGGTAGATCTGGCATTTAAAGTTT